TTATTGGGGCACCTGGGTGGCTCAGTCAGTTAAGCGGCTGCCTTCAGCTCAGGTCAGGGTCCTGGGATCGAGCCCCGCATCAGGCTCCCTGCTCGGCAGGAACCCTGCTTCTCCCTCTCCCACTCCCCCTGCTTGTGTTCCCTCTCTTGCTGTGTCTCTGTCAGATAAATCAATAAAATATTACAAAAAAAATAGGGAGGTTATCCTGAATGAGCCCAATGGAATCACAAGAGTCTTACATGTCCAAGTGAGAGAGAGATTTGAAATTGCTACATTGTTGCCCTTGTCGATGGCAGAAGGGACCAGGAACCAAGGGACACAGGTGCCTCTAGAATCTAAAAGTCAAGAAAACAGATTCTGTAGAGTCCCCAAAAGGAACACAGCCCTGCTAACACCTGGATTTTAGCTCAGTGAGACCCTTCTCAGGCTTCTGACCTCCGTAACTAGAAGATGATAAATTTGGGCTATTTCAAGCCACTAACTTTGTGGCAATTTGCTACAGGAGGTGGATACACTGTTGCTGAGAGAGGAATTAGTGGCAAAGAGTCAGTTCAGCTAGGAACAGTTTGTACAGATACCCAGAGTGAAAATTAGCCCTTCTCTTCCTTCTATTCTGCTTGCATCCAGGAGAAATTCCTGAAAGATCCTGATAGAGCAAGTTTTCCCAAATTTTAAAAATAATCTCCCAGTCATTTCAACAGCAAGGTGGAATTGAGGAGCGGTTAAGATATTTGCGCTCAAGGAGGCTTCACATGAAAAAGTGGTCTTCAATGAAATGCTGAAGCAACGCATGCTCACACGAACAATTATCTCAGAATATCGCGCTAATTATGAAGACGACAGGTGTGATTCATTTATCCATTCAAGAAATATGCATTGAACACCTACTGTATGTCCAGATCCCTGAGAACGCAACAGTCTGAAAATGTCACGGTAATGGTTTTATGAAGCTTCTCGTTTTCAAATGTTACAAAAATACTCAAGGCCATGCACATGGAAAAAAAATATCAAATCCTAGGGCTGGAAGCAATTGCAGATTCAACCAAACACAGTCAGCCCCTGCCTGTCCAGTGCCTACTTTGCACGTGTCTTGGTTTCTTTTGGCGGTGACCCCAAGTCTGGGAGTCCCTACACCTGAGCACCAATCAGCCTGTCTGCTGAGCTGCCCCTCCCCCCAGGAAGCCCAAAGAGAAGCTCCCATGTTCTTCCTCTGCTGGCTTCTACCCCAGGTGACCCAGCATTCATGTTCCTGGCACCCCCTTCTCATTCTGAGTCTCCTCTTTCATGCCTAAAATGCGAGTTTTGCATTTTGAGGCGTCTTTGGGCACCCAGACTCTCGAGAGCTTGATGGGATACGGGAGGGGCCAGCAGAGAGTATTGGTCAAAGGCTGCTTAGGCTGAAGGTAGGGTTGCCAGAGAAAATACAGAGCGGCTAGTTCAATTTGGATTTTCAGATAACAGTATGTCCCTAATTTTAGCAACATGCTAAAAAAATTATTCATTGTTTATCTGAAATTCAAATTCAACTGGGCATCCTGTCTTTTTATTAAATCTGACAGCCCTAAATTTGTGAGGGAAGGAGGCAAGGTCATGGTGGATACCAGAGTTTGCCTTTGCGTGGACCGTTTGAGTCAGAAGAGGAGACAAAAAGCAAAAGAAATAAAGCAGTTCTCTTGAAGGGAAATCCATGAATGGACGTCTCTCTCTCCTTTTGATGCTTTGTGCCTGGTGTGTGTGTGCATGTGTGTATATGCCCATACATCGGAATCTGCATTTTGTTGACACAAGGATTATGGTATTGACCAGAAACTGGTGACAGTGATACCAATTAGATATTGACAAAACAAGTGAGAATTTTTTAGAAAGTAAAAAAAGTGATCAGTCTAAAAGTAATATTACTTACTGCATTTCTATAAACTCTCTACCATTTATGTCCAACAGCTACACAGCCCCATCACAATTTTGTTCGTTCCCCGTCTTTGTGCGTCTTCATAAAACCATAAAACATTATGAAAGGGTCTGCGAAATCACCTAGTCCAAACCTGACATTTACAGGTTAAGTAACCGAGACTCAGAGAGAGGAAGTGACCAACCCGGGATCATGCTCTGTCCTAACAGTATTTTTCGAGGGCTTACGTACCAGGCATTTTTAAAACGCTCTGCTTGTATTATCACATTTAATCCTTGCAACCACCATATAATCACCATTATTCAGATGAAACAAATTGCGGCAGAGAGAATTATGACACTTATCTAAGGTCAAGGTTATACAGCTGGAAAGTAGAAGCGCCTGCAAAACACCCAGCTAGTTTGGCTCCAGAGTCACGCACTCAACCATGAAACCCCACAGCCTCTCAAATAAGAGGAGTTTATATCATTAAATATGTTAATACATGTAAAATGTCCTCGTTTACTGCTCCTCTAGCATGCTTTTGTCCTTAATAACAAGGTCACGCGAACAGTTTACAGAAAGCCAGTTGGCATCTGCTTTTATAAAAAAGCCCCACAAACATGGGATGTCTTGCTGTGATCAGAGAACAATTTAGTTGCATTTATTTATTTTTAAAGATTTTATTTATTTGACAGAGAGAGAGACAGCGAGAGAGGGAACACAAGCAGGGGGAGCGGGAGAGGGAGAAGCAGGCTTCCCGCAGAGCAGGGAGCCCGATGTGGGGCTGGATCCCAGGACCCCGGGATCATGACCTGAGCCGAAGGCGGTTGCTTAACTGACTGAGCCACTCAGGTGCCCCTACATTTAGTTTTTGAAATAATTTTAATTAGACAACACCAGGGTCTACCAGCAAAGCAAACACCGGCAGTGAGAGGGAGTTTTATGAATTTACATTAGGAGTAGCTCATGAAAGCAAGAAGAAAAAAAGCAAATGGAGCAGAAATCAAAACAGAGAAGAGGCTCTCCTATCCATTGTTAAACACAAAATAAACCATGTTCTCTTAGGAAGAGGCAGGCCCTCTTTGCTAGCAAGCTGCCGACCCAAGGTCTGAGCTGGTGCAGCTGGACTTTATGTAACTATATCCAGGAGGATATAATCTTCGGGGTCTGCAACATTACATTTACTTAGTTTCACATGTTGCTTGTTTTTTCTTCCGTGTCTTTCAGGAGATTATCAACCCCTTGTATCTCCAGTGACCAAAGCACTTTGTCCATTTCCAGACCCCAGTTTGGCTGTTTATCAAAGGTGGAGGATTAAGCATGCCGGTATCTGCATTGATATCATGTTTTCCTGAAGTTACCCTTTCCTGTGATACAAAGCCTGTCCAAGCTTTAAAGAGAGAGAGAGAGAGAAAGAAAAGAAAGAAAAGAGAAAGAAAGGAAGAAAAAGAAAAAAAAAAAAAAAAAAAGAAAGAAAGCAAGTTGGCAATTGGAATTCTCCAAAGCTCCAGGGTCTACCTGGGAGACACCAGAACTCCACTAACCCACTAAAACAGGAATTAGGAATTCCCTCTCTGCACTTTCCCCGAAGGAGGGATTCCTTGATGAGTTCCCTAAGTCTGTTTTGCAATTCTCCTATCCTTTTATTTTTATTTTATTTTTTTACAACCAGCTCCTCCCCTACCTCCTACGCCAAAGGGCAAGGGTGCATCTGAAAGGAGCTTAGTTTCTTGCAAAAACAAATCTGCATCCTCTCTTCTTCAGAAAGGTGGCAGTGTTGCCTTGCGGTTTTGACCACAGTACAAAGCAGGGGCAAGGTCTCTAGCGGATTAACAGACCAACCAGCGCACCTCATCAGGGAAAGGAGAGGAAGGACATAATCCACTGTGGAACCCAGTGCCTGGCAGGCTCACCCCGGAGCCTCAGGGCCCCGAGGCTCGCGGCCACATAAGCTCTTGAATGGTCATCTCCCTTCAATGGTACGGAGCCTTAGAAAACCTCCCATGGACCCCACAGACATCTAAAAGCCAGAAGCGCCTAAGGAACTCCCAGATGACCCTTACTTTCCAACATCCATGCTTCTCCGTTTTGAAACATGAATCCCAAGTGGAAACACTGAGTGGTCCCATTTAGCAAAGCTGCGGAGAATCACCGTAAGCGACGCCAGCATCCTAGGAACACCTGTTACGGGGAATGTTCACATAGGAGTTCTCAGAAAGTAATCCGCCTTCTAAGGAGGAACGCTGCCATTTGTTGAGTGGTTTGTCACCGCTTTTATAAAACCGATATTACACACAGTGCTGTTGAGAAAGAACTTAAGGGGGCGAGTGTCTCCCTGTCCAAACGTGGACACCCACACGTTGGTACCTTCCATGGGCGCCTAAACCAACCCTTCATGGCGAGCCGCTAGACTTCCCGGCTCTCCCTTCCACTCACCTTCACTCGGCGTCCTCTGAGAAGTTTCTGTATGCGCCACTGACACAGAAATTTGGGGGGAGATTCTCCATTTATAAATATCAGATGGTTTGGGAAAAAATATTTGTGGCACTGGACTTTTTTTTTTTTTCTCTACAGTGATGTCATCCTAAATACTTGGTGTGCACTAAATTTGCTATTTTTACTTCCCCCAAGTTACTTTTTTGGGAAATACATTTGTTTGGATTAGCTACATTTTAAGTGACCCTGTATCTATTAATACACAACATCAGGTTCATCTTCTCAGCAGTTACAACTGATATTATGTAGCTCTCCAACTTGAACTCCCTTATTTGTTCATTTTCAAAGTCCTTCCTTTCCGATGTACCCCTCCAAAATTTCTATTCACAGATACAGGAAAAAAAAAATATATAAAAGAATTGGCCTTTTCACAAACAAACAAAAATCACATCCAACAATTCAAAGCATTGAAAACGGAAGACATTACAGTTTCTCGCCCCCCGCCCCCGGCCCCCAAAGTCAAATAAAAGCCTTCGCTTTCAGAAAGGTGCTTTGTGGGGGACAAGGTGGAAGGAGCCACGGCCGGCTCCGAAACACTGGTTGGGAAGCAGCGGAGAGTTGCGAGCTGCGGAAGAGGAAAGTTAACACGGAATGCTAAGCGACTTAGCCCTACCTGATCTGAATTTGCTCCTAATCAGCAAAGAATGCTCAGACCCCAGGAGTGTCATGTTGAGTCTCAACGAGCCGCTGGTCCCTTGGCCAGACGCCCCCTGTTTTCCGCCAGGAACGGGCTCCCGGGAGCCCAGCGGAGCGCAGCTAACACCCCACAATGCATCCAACTCTCCGGGAGCGCCGGTGGGTAGGAGGACCGCGGCGGCCAGCGGCCGAAACCGGTGTCCCCAGGAAGCTGGCGGCTCCCCCCTCGCTGCGCGGGGCTAACTGACTCCGAGCCGGCGGGACCCTCCTCCTGCGCCGAGTCTGGCCGGCAGCGGCGGCATCCCAGGCGTGCCCGGCTGATGTCATGGGCTGCCAGCGATCGCGGAGTATCGCCACCACGCCTTTATGAAGGGCCCAAGTTTGCCATCCGATACTTTTTTACTACTGACAACAGCTCAGCCAATCAGGCGCGGCGAGCGGGGCCGGCGGCCGCCCGGGGAGCGGCGGGAGCGGGGGTCCCGGCCGGCGCGCGGGGGCGCAGGGGCGCGCGGGGGCTGCGCGGGGGCTGCGCGGGGGCTGCGCGGGGGTGGCTGCGAGCCCCCCGCGGGGCAGGAGAGGCGCGCGCGGGCGCGCGGAACCCAGCGGGGCTCCGGGCGCCGCGCGCTCCCACCTTCTCTCCGCGTTCCCGGGCCTCGGGGCGCAGGCGGAGACGAGCGGCCGCGGGGAAAGGGAAAGCCTTTCATTTTCCCGGGGTGTGCGCTTTCGGGGCGAGCCTGACTCGGTGGACGCGCAGATCCAGCCCGGGGACACAAGGCCCTCCCTCTGGGGGAAGGCACAGACGTGGAACTGGGGGGGGGGAGGGGGGCAGGAGGGTGGAACTCACGGAGGGAGGGTCTCAGGAGCCGGGGGGGGGGTAGTTGGGGTGTCAGAGCTGGGGTCAGGCTTAGCTTGCAAAGGCTCTAGGCTTTTCCTACGCGTGGGGGGAAATCCATTCCGAACCCAAAACGGAGTTATTGGACATCTAGAATGTGCCAGGGGTTATAAGCTCTACCTGATCCGAATTAACTCCTAATCAGCAACAAGGAAGGCTCATCGGGAAGTAAAACAAAGACTCTGCTTTCAAGAAGCTTGCTCCGTAGGTGGTGGCACCGAAAATAAAACCCAGGCTGTGTACCTACATGATGCTGGGTTGAATTGATTTGCAACCTTCTACGCGCGTGGGCCCCTGGTCTCCTGGATCACATACATAACTGCTTAGGTCTCAGGAGAACGCAACACTTCCAGGCTCCTGCGGTCCTGGGTTCCCAAACCCCAGCCCCTTGACCTCTTTCCATCGAAGACCAGGAGCCTGGGGCTTGACTGAGGACAGGAACATGCTGGGAGGAGGAGGGGGTCACTCTGTGCCAGGCAGAATGTCTCCCCTTCCCACTGCTCACATCTCAATCCCAGGAATCTGTTCCACTCCATGGCAGAGGGGGAATGAAGGTACCAGATGGAATTAAGGTTGGCAATCAGCTGACCTTGCAATAAGGGTCTTGCAATACAGGGTCAGGGGGTGACAGGTGAAGACCCGATAGGACAAGCTCCTGGGACAACTTCTGGTGCCGGAATTCTCTGATCCTTGCCTTCATTCTTTGGATCCCACCAATCCTTTGTGTACAGAAGGTCATCTGAGTTAGGCCATACCCTTCTTGGGTCAAAAGGGAGACAAAGCAACCCCAGCCATGTTCCCATTGGGAACAGTGTCCTGGCCGCGGATGGGGTTTCCAGGAGGGCGGAAGACACAGGAGCATCTCGGTGGCGATGTCTCATTTAGATACACAGTGTGTTACTTTCCTAGTCCTGCAGTAACAAGTTACCGCGAGTTCAGGAAGTCAAAACGACACAAATTTATTACCTTGCAGTTGTGGAGGTCAGAAGTCTGGGTTCTCCTGGGCTGAGATCGAGGTACCATCAGGGCTCTTTCCCTTTGGAGAATCTAGGGGAGAACGGTTTCCTGCCCTGTTCCAGCTTCTAGAGGCCATCCATGCTCTTTTGCTTGTGGTCCCTTCCTCCCATCTTCAGAGCCAGCAGTGGTGGGGACAAGCTCTTACCCCCCTCGGGTGACTCTGATCCCCCCAGCCCCCACTTCTGCCTCCCTCTTCCACACTTTAAGGATGCTTGTGATTACATTGGGCCCCCCTGGGTAAACCTTATTGCAAGGTCAGCTGATTGCCAACCTTAATTCCATCTGGTACCTTCATTCCCCCTCTGCCATGGAGTGGAACAGATTCCTGGGATTGAGATGTGAGCAGTGGGAAGGGGAGACATTCTGCCTGGCACAGAGTGACCCCCTCCTCCTCCCAGCATGTTCCTGTCCTCAGTCAAGCCCCAGGCTCCTGGTCTTCGATGGAAAGAGGTCAAGGGGCTGGGGTTTGGGAACCCAGGACCGCAGGAGTCTGGAAGAATTCCAGTGACTTCGAGCTGCCTGAGGCAGAGAGGTGCTCTGCGGGGAAGGGATCAGTGACATAGGGAACATTGCAAGATGATCCGAGTGGCGAAAAAGAAACTACTCTGAGCAACATTAAAAACAAAAAAACCCAAAATATTCAAACAGATTTTTATCCTGAGGGCCGTAGGGCTGAGAAGAGGTCCACGTAACTTGGCAGAGAATTCTTTTTCAGTGAAAGTTGTGAGGAAAACAGGGGAGCCAGCATTGAAAGTAAGGGTCTGCGTGACCTAGGGGAGTTGGACAGGAGTACGTTGTTTTCCCTCTGCTGGCGTGACTGTGTGTGTGTGTGTGTGTGTGTGTGTGTGTGTGTGTGTAGGGGAGCTTGGTTTCTTTTTTGAGTGAGTTTGGGAAATGCTGGTCGCCAAAATGTCAATTTTCCCATCACAACACAGAGCTGCTGACGTCTGCCCGCTGAGATTTATGCCCCCTACAGTGTGGAATATCTCTGGATATAAATATGCTCATATAGAAGCTCATCCTTCCTTCTCTCTATGCAAGCATTTTTTTTTTTTTAAGCAATTTGGACAGGCTGTTCCCGAGGGAGAAAGATCTCCAAGTAGCTATGAGAACAGCAATGGCCTGCCACAAAGCCCTGTCCTACAATTTGACCACCTTGAAGGCACTTGTCCCGTATACCATGCGACCCTGGGACTCCTCCCCTGAGCCTGTGATGTAAGGTAGAAGACAGACACGAGCTCCTTGTGTCGGGGGGAACTTCATCTGACCCTGAGCTCCCTCTGTGACCTGGAGTGAGTTATCAAAGTCTTCTAAGACAGCATCTTCCGGTAACATGACGTTGGAAATATTTACTTCTAGAAGGGTGCAGAAGTTCAGATGAGATAGGACATTGGGAGCGCCCAGAACAATCTCCCATGGCATGTTTTGTGTTTTAGGTCCCTCTCTTGATCCTCCCCTGACCTCTGATCATTCTTGATGATTCCAGGCAATCCTGAATCCCTGTGTTACGGCTTTCCTTTACTTCGCCATGAGTTATCTACAACTGGGTAACCAGTTACCACCAGGGTAGCAGCTTAACAGCACACGTGCTTACTATTTCACAGTTCCCATGGGTTGGTATTCTGGGCGTGGCTCAGCTGGCCCTTGGCTCAGGAATTCACAGGGCTGCAGTCAAGGTGATGGTGGGGGTTGCGGCCTTGTCAAAGGCCCAGCGTTCTCTTCCAAGCTCACTGGCTGAGTGGAAGCCAGCTTCTTGCAGTGCTAGAACTCATCGTAGCTTGCTCTGTCCAGGCCAACGGGAGAATCTCTCTTTCACGGAAGACCCTTTTAAAGGACTCCCCTGATTAGGCCAGACCCACCCAAGATAATCTCCCTTTTAATGAACTCAAGGTCATACCATTAAGGAAACTTCATGGTATCTGCAAAACCCCTTGACATTGGGCAAATCACATAACCTAACCATGGCTGTGTCATCGGTCACATTCAAGCCCCCCCTCCCCCCATGGTGAAAGAGAGAGGGTTATACAAAGGTGTAACTCACTGAGCCTTCTGCCCTTCACAGCTGTGGTCCTGGGCCTGCAGCCAGATGGGAGTGTTGTGTCTGGAAGCATGAGTCCACTGCACAGCTTAGGGTGGTCAGCTTGAACCCTGACCCCAGGTGGACCTCCTCGTGGGGCCACCTGGGGTCAGGGGCTGGGTTGCAGGGCACGGGGTGGTGAGCAAAGGGACAGCTCGCTTATGTGGACCGCAGGACCTCCAGTTCTCTTAGCATCCCAAGGTCATCAATGTCTTCTTGGACCTCATCGTCTCCTTGTCCTCAGTGCCTGTCCCTGGTATCATCTGCTGTTTTCTCTTTTTTTCTTTCACGTGTCTGATGAGCAACTTCAGGGAGCATCTGTCCCTCTTTCATCCATTCATTGAAAGTGTGTATAGGGATCTGTACAAGCCACTCTGGCGAATGTCCTGGTTAGACATACAGCTTACACGCGGGTTTGCACACTCACATGATTTGACCAGTGATAGGAGAGAATGTGCTGGGGTGGGGGGTGTCTGCAGCAGGCCTGACACACAGGGCTGGTCCAAATGCGGCAGCGAGGACATATAGCCTGGGTTGACCATAGCCAGACAGAAACTTATTGGCATTCCCTCCAGATATTCAAACAAACTGAAAACCCAGGGGGAAATGTTCCATGTATTGGTTTCTAAAAATATGAGTGGCTATTGGTAATTTCAAAAAACAAAAATAAACAAAAAAACTCTTAAAACACAGTATGAGTCAACCAGGGACAGATTCAGGATGTGGGACCTGAGCCTTATGTATCTGGATGGGGGGGGGCTTTAAAAAAGTAAGTGCAAAATCAGAAATGGGACGGTTCGTGAAAGTGTGACTTTTGACCAAAATTGAGAAACGGAATCACAACTACCTGGAGCATGGACGATTCGGATCCTCAGTCAACTGACCAGAAATGGTAATGCAGAAATGCTTCCTACTTGCATCCTGGCTTCCCTTCCCACCTGGAACTCTCTAGAATTCCCAGCTACTCCCAGCACCCCCAGGGCCGGTGTCAGAGGGAGGAAGGACCCTGATGCTTAAGTTTCATTAACTTCATGGTAAATCCATCTCTGGGGCCAATAAAACATGTCTTCAAGCCGAATGAGGCTCGTATGCCTCTGCCAAGAAAATCCGGTCTCTAAGAGGCTCCGTGACCCCAGGAACGAGAGTAAAATGCATGCTACCAAGTTACCAATTTAAGAAATTACCTATTTAAGGAATATGGCTTCAGCCTATCAATTTTGTTTCAATTTCAATTCAATTCAAATTCAATTCAATTTCAATTCAATTTCAATATTTATTAAGCGTGGACTGTGTTCTAGCCCTGCAGGGGTTATAAAGACAACACAGACGTGATCCTGGACCTCCAAGGGCTAAGGATACAGTGGCAAGGCAGCCCCAAGCTC